TACAGGTAAAGTCCAAAAAGGGGACTAGAAATAGGATTGAGTCATTGCAGACATTATGTACTTAATGTCAAGAGCCTGATTCATGTCTAGTATCGTCAGTTACCATCAAGTTCATATCATACATGCATTTAGATCACACGACACAGTAAATGATTAGCAGTATTATTACAGAAGAAAGAATTTGTCGCAAATATTCAGTTGATCATGCAACCACAATTGGTGAAAACAGTGGTTAATCAAAGAAAGCTTAGAAAGAACTCCCATGTGCTGAGAGTATTGGAGACACATTAAATATAATTCGAAATTACTTAGCTGAAAACTAATTATGCAAATCAGAAAATTAATATGACCAGATTTGAGTGTAAAACTAATGAGGTCTGTGCAATGTAACAGAAAATCTATGTTTCCAAGTTTAATTGAAATGTGATTAGAACCAAAAAATTATGAATTATTATGCTTATTAGGGAATTAATATGAACAGATTTTTACCCCAAACTAATTAGGTTTGTACATTGTCCTAGAGCATCTTTGTACTAAGTTTCATTAAAATGGAATAATTAGTACTTTAGATATCAGTGTGAAAGCTTAAAATTGGTTAATTATGCAAATTAGGTAATTAATATGTACAGATTTTAACCCACAATTAGTCTATTGTCCTACAGCATTCATGTACATTCATTGATATGTGATGTATAGTACCCGAGATATCAGTGTGAAAGTTGGTTAATTATGCAAATTAGGTGATTAATATGCACAAATATTTACCGGAAACTAATTGGGTCTGCATAATTCTAGATTCATTGAAATGTGATGATTAGTACTTTGAAAATTAATTATGCAAATTAGGTAATTAATATGCACAATTATTTACCCTAAAACTAATCAGGTCTCTGCATAGTCCTAAAGGATCTATGTACCAAGTTTCATTGAAATGCGATGATTAGTACTTGAGATACCCGTGGAAAAGATGAAAATTAACTAATTATGAAAATTAGGTGATTAATATGTACTGATATTACCATAAAAACTATCAGATCTGTGCAGTGTCATATGACATCTATGTACAAAGTTTCATTGAAATGTGATGATTAGAACTTGACATATCAGTGGAAAAGATGAAAATTAACTAATTATGCAAATTAGGTGATTAATATGCACAAATACTTATCGGAAACAATCTCTGCATAGTCCTTGAGTATGTAAGTACCAAGTTTCATTGAAATGTAATGCTCAC